GTTATATCTGATCAAATGCACATTATTATTCTTTAGTTTGGGTTAAACAAATCAATTTTGCTTGGTTGGAACAGCAGCTACGCTAATTAGGTCTATTTGTTTCTCTGTTTTTGCCACGTAACTAGGATTTACACAAGCTTCAGTCTGGATCCAGAACACCTGAGAAGAGATGATGCCAACCCATCAGAGGACCTCAGATGATGCCAACCCTGAAACAACATACAGAACTACCACATTTTGCTATAAGTTTGATTGCATCATATAATAATTGCTGTTAATAGTGTTAATCGTCTGTTTGATTACGTCTTTAATTTATTTTTCCGTACATTTCTGCCATATGTACATTAACTGACAGTCACCACTGATAAGCTACCACTAAATATTGTAGAAACTTAATTTGCTGTAAAGTTGCTTTGCAACGATTTGTATCGTGAAAAGCGCTATACAAATAAACTTGAATTGAATTGAATTATAAATGATTAAATACTAAATTAATAGCCGTTATTAAGATTGATGTGTTTTGGAAAAATATGATCAGAATATATACTAATACTATATAACTTGATATAATTTAAAATGTTTCCTTGATACCTCTGTTTCTATTTTGCAGCTCTGTAATTACTACATAATGTTTCTCCATGAAATACATGCTTGAGTTGCTTAGCAATACCGGCTAAAAATTATCATATTTTTCACTCTCCAGAAAATCCAATGTCTGCAGCGACAATACAGTAATAGAGATCATTATGAAGATCAGAGATACAATCGCAATGACCTGGAGAAACAAACATCAAGAATGAGCAAGGAACCTCCCATTTAGAGAATAGCAATATCAAGCACCACTCATTTCCACTGAGAATTTAAAATGTAAAATTCCTAAATTTGAATTGAATTTGAGGTAGAACTAGAAAAGTTTGTCAAAACAATTTTTGAATGTTAGCTTGACCAGTGTTGTTATTAATTAAAAATACTAAAAATTGTCTTTAATAAATAATAAATGTTGGTTGGATGGATGGATGGAACAATAGATATAGTGAAAGAACGACAGAACAATGGATGAATGGATGGAGGGACAGATGGGCAGAGATAGATAGATAGATAGATAGATAGATAGATAGATACCTGTACCTGTTTTGCCTCGTGAGCTGAGTATGGCGCGGCGAAAGTGCCAAAGCGAGGAGGAGAGGGCTCCAGTCCCCAAATCCAGTCCAGAGCGCCCTCCAGTGCCCTCTCCTAGAAAGCGCCCTCCAATGCCAGCTCCTCGCTAGCCTGTGCCATTCTCCCTTGTCCGATATTGTTTGTTCGTCTTCTGCTACATGGCTGAAAAAAGTTAAAAACAAATCAAGGACTACATAAAAGATAATCTGACCTTTGAAATCTTTTCACACCGAAATTTTCCTTGGTACACAGAATATTACTATTATAAGTTCTTAGAAAGTTCTTTCCATGTAGCTTGAAACTTGGAGTTGTGCAACACTAACTCAAACTCTGCAGTTTTATACTTTTCTGCAGTCCAGCCTCCAAAGTCCCAGAAGACAAGCCACCATTCACCAAAGAAGGTTATTTTATTTTTTCTGTCCATCTGATGAAAGCCAGCTGTTCTGGAATGAACTTCCTGTCAGTCCATTTTATTGAATCAACACCTGCAGACATTTCATACTCCACACTTCATATATATATATATATATTCTGAGCTAAAGAAACTTTAAATTAAAATCCACTAAAATCCAGTACCAGATGTTGATTCTAATGCACAACAGCCAAAACAAAAGTTATAGTAGAAGTTCGGTGCATTTCAGTGCAGCTCTGATGTGGTATTTTATACATATTACTGTAATTTTGTCAACGCTGGCATGCCTTTTATGCTGCATTAAAAAGTCGCTTCCTTTTCATTTATTTATTTGTTAAACTATCATAATTTGTAGACTACCAGATTCTCTTTTTAATGATTCAAATCCAAAAAGGTAAAAAGAAAACATCTTAGTACAAAGAACCAAAATAAAACAAAGAGAGATCACATTTTTGTACATTTAAGAAGGGAGATTTAAGCTAAACTGCCCAAAAATAATATCACCTTCACATTTAACTTCACTAAACACATTTGTGCATGATGTCAATCCACACACACACACAAACATGAATCCAAAATTCATACTGCATTATCAGCCAGTGAATCTGCCGTCAATGGATTGTTTACATTTGCTGGAGAACCAGTAGGTGGCGCAATTGCTCAGTACTGTTTTAATGTCTTAAGCGGCATTAATTTACAGGGGCTACTGTGTAACCTTTTTACTCTTTTAAACTTTTAATCTATTAAAAAAAAAACAAAAAAAAACTATTTGTGTGTGCATTTCGGCATTCATAAAATGTTAGGTTGATCTTTAAACAACAAGATGTATAATAAAACATATAATGGTAAGTAAGCCTACTGAGTCATATAACAAACACTTCTATTCAAAGCACCCTACAGCATAATAAAAGGATATGCTTAAATGAACATATTTAGTATGAATCCTTAGACGCCGTGTAAAGGAACAGCTGTGTTCGTTGAGGCTATTACATCTACTATGGTTACTATGGGCTCCCATTTGCATTGCAAATGAACACTGCAGGGACATAATTATAGAGCACTCTCTAGTAAATCCATCAAATATGTTTCTCAGAATTATATATATATATATATATTACATTTAGTCATTTAGCAGACACTTTTGTCCAAAGTGACATTATGACTAGTGGTGTCAAATGATTAATCGTGATTAATCGCATCCAAAATAAAAGTTTTGGCTCATATAATATATGTGTGTGTACTGTGTATATTTATTATGTATATATAAATACAAACACATGAATGTATATATTTAAGAAAAATATGTAATGTTTATTTATGAAATATATTTATATATAATATAAATTATATATAAATATATAGATGTAAATATATGTAAATATTTTCAAAATATGTATGTGTGCTTTATACATATTACTGTAATTTGGTATGTGTGTGCTTTTATATACGTAATAAATATACACAGTACACAAACATATATTATGTAAACAAACTTTTATTTTTGATGCGATTAATCGCGATTAATCGTTTGACAGCACTAATTATGACACACACACACACAAACAAAAAATAAAAATGCTGTGCTTTTGAAATTTCTTAGGCTTTTCTGAAATGTCTATTCATGAGAGAATCCTGACACAATATATCACAGCTTCCACAAAAATATGAAGGAGCTTATGAGTTTCCAACATTTTGTATTTTTGATCAGCAAATCAGCATATTAGAATGATTTCTGAAGGATCGGTAAACACTGAAGACTGGAGTAATGATGCTGAAAATTTAGCTTTACATCATAGGAATAAATTACATTTTAAAATATACCGAAACAGAAAAAAGTTATTTGAAATTGTAATAATATTTCACAATATTACTGTTTTTGTTGCGCATAAGGGACTCATTATTTCAGAAATATAAAACAAAAAAACGTCTCAACCCCAAACCCAAATATTTATAAGTATTATAATTAATTATAAATATATAAAAATTATTTATTTTTATATATTATTTGTATTTGTGGCACTATAGATTCACATTTACAACTATTTGCACAAGTTTGAAGTCATTCCGAGTGTGTGCACTGTAAGTTGGTTGTCTTTAGCATCCTAGCAACAAACACCAACAAGTAACTCGAGACTCCGGTTGTAGGTGGACATCTGAGTCAGTATCAGGTGTTCATAAAACACAGATGAGAGTCTACAGATCCAGCACTAGGACCCAGAAGCTTCCCAGTCCCCGCCTGCTCTCCCACATCACTCACTCCTCTCCTCCCTACCTGAACTACACACTCCAGGATGGAGCAGAGAGATGTCGCAGAGACCAGAAGACGACTAAGACACATCCGAAGAGACAACAGCCTCGCCTACTGTTGTCATTTTTCTTTCTGTATAGACAACTTGTAGGTTTTGCCTACTGCAAATGGACAACGCCATCAGAAGACTTGAAAGAACCTGAACAAGTCAGCAACTATGTAAAAACCACAACCTTTTATGGATTTAATAGTACTAATTTCTATAGTATCCAAGCTGGATTTTATCTGCGTTTCCGAAGTGTCCCACCATTGGACTTAAACTGCTACACTGGGACTAAACAAGAACTCATACTCAAGTGTTTAGAATCAGTCAGCAAGTGTAAAGTTGTAGTTGTACTTCACTGAGCAACATCTAGATTATCTGGACTGTATATGTGTACCTCTGCGTGTAACTCTGCATACAGCCATGGGGAACGCAGCTGGAAGTCTGGAGATGTCACCGGGGCGAGACGTCAAACGGCCCCTCAGCACCTATGGGCAGAAACAGCCACCGGCCCCTAAACTGCCCCTACCACCTGAGGACGAATTAGAGGAGAGGTTCAGCGTGGTGTTGGTACGTACATGACAAAATATCCCATAATGCAGTAGACTAAAAGGGGTTTCAGCTCTAATATGTCATTTACTTTTTAAGTGTTTTGCTGATTTGGAATGTAGAAAAACAGCATGTTCAAATACAGTACTGTATGTGTGGTTGAAGCTGAGATGCTCCACTGCAGTAATTATAAATATGTTTGATATGCACCATGATATGCATCTCTTTGCATGCAAAAGCACCCATCTCAATTACATAATAGAGCTAGTTGTACCACGTTAGGTTGTAGACTGTGATGGAATGTGATTGCATTCATATGCGTGTTTGTGAAATCTGTCAAATCTCCCCGAGCGAGGCTGTAATTGTGCAGCTGGGAGACTTTAATGCATCATTAGGTGTTTTTCATGTGCTTTATCCAGTGGTGGACGAAGTACACAAATCAAGTACTTGAGTAAAAGTACAGATCCATATAATAAAATATTACTCCAGTAAAAGTAAAAGTACTCAGTTTTCAATTTTACTCGATTTTACAAAAGTACTTGATTTTTTATGTACTTAAGTAAAAAGTACTGATAGATGAATGTTTATTTTGCAGTTTTATATAGGCTACTTTTATCATTTAATTTTATATTAGCATATATTTTTTATAATCCTACTGCTCAAAATACCTGGGATTTTCCCAAAATAACCAATAAGGAAATAATGAATATAATAAGGAAAATATAATTATATGTACAGTAACGAAGTAAAACTACTTCGTTACTGTCCACCACTGGCTTTATCTACTTGTATCATCTGCATCTCATTTATGATGAGTGTACAGTATGTGAGTGTGTGGCAGCTTAATACATTTTTAGTTTAAAGTAGTATGGGTAGTTAATCTAAAGATTACAATTCTGTCATTTATTCACCATTACACCATTCTTAACTGGTATGACCTTCTTGCTTAAAGCATCTTTAAAGAAATCTTTACCCAAAGATGAAAATTTTGGGAAAATTTACTCACCCTCAGGCCATTCAAGATATAGATGAGTTTGTTCAGATCACGTGTTCACCAATGGATGCTCTGCAGTGAATGGGTGCCGTCAGAATGAGAGTTCAAACAGCTGATAAAAACATCACAAGTAATCCACACCACTCTAGACCATCAATTAATGTCATGTGAAGCGAAAAGCTGAATCAGGAGAGAAATATGCAGAGATCAAGCATCGTTTACAGGAGAAAACAGTCCAAAAAGATCTAGACAAATACGTTGTTGGGTTTGTATGGGAGAGGACAACAGGGGATAGACTTTTTCACTGGAGGAAGTGTTGTTATGGACGCATATTTTAGCTGAAAGTAACAGTTTAAAGTTAAAAATGTTTAAATGATGTGTTTGTTACAAACACGCAGCTTTTCACTCCACAAGATGTTAACTGATGGTCTAGAGTGATGTGGATTACTTGTGGATTATTGTGATGTTTTTATCAGCTGTTTAGACTCTCATTCTGACGGCACCCATTCACTGCAGGGGATCCACTGGTGAGCAAGTGATGCAATGTTAAACCTCGCCAAATCTGTTCTGATGAAGAAACAAACTCATCTATATCTTGGATGGCCTAAGGGTGAGTAAATTTACAGCAAAATTTCATTTTCACCTTTAAAGTAGTTCCACACACCATATTTCAAATATACAATAGCTTTATGTGAGAAGCAGACAGAAATTTAAGTCATTATTTACTGAAAATCTTCTTGACAGTTGTGGTCATTGTGGAATCACATATTAGCCATTAACATCTTCATTTGTGTCCTACTGTATGGGAAAAAAAATTGTAAGGGTTTTAATAAACATGTCGGTTAAAAGTATTATGATTATATAACTCCACACACCTTACCACAATAAATAATACATTATATCAGCACAAAAATGATTGGCCTACTGGCCGGTTATAGTTAAGGCCTGGAACAACCTACTTATCAACTAGTTAATCTAATTTAAAAAAAACTGTGAACCAGATTCACAGTAGTGGTGGTTTCCAGTCTAAAAAGACCAAATCCAACAGTCCACATTACACAAGTACCTGTGTTTAAAATTAATATTTAGCCAATGTTTTACTCTTTATATAACTTAAATAAGTCTGGCTCTAGTGCTTGTTGGTAAAGCCAGCTGTAATTTATTCCATGTTAATTAATTTACTCTGCCAATATCCTTAATGCTGTTCCTAAATCAGATAAGCACACTTTCCCATCTTACAGCAGTGAAAGGCCATCTAAGTATTAAAGTGCGCATGCAGGCCCTCCATCCAACTCAAACGGTTTCATTTTTTCCAGTCGCCATCTACAATGCCTACGGAGAAAGAGAGTGTTTGGGACATGCTGTTTGTATAATGGAAATAGAATGCAAATAATGCAAGCAGCACCAGCAGCATGTTCGTGATAAAACACACAATTAAAAGAGCAATCACTCAAAAACACACCTAGTCGGGTACAAAATGTAAATATTACATGGCAAAGCTTCAGTGCAATTACCTGTGAGCTTGTTTAGTAAAAGTTACAAGTATTCAATTAAAAACTGGATAAACAATAAACAAAAGTCTTGCATAACAGTGGGTATACACACACACACACACAAACTCATGCAAATACACATTTACAGAGAATTCTGCATTCTTTTCTTTGTGAGGCTGAATTTATGTGTATAAAAGCAACAGTTTTGTCCTTGCTCGCACATGCATGTGTTATAGCTTTTAAAACACTCAAGCTGATGCTTTCTACATCGCCTTGCCAAGGGGAGGAGCGCAAAACATCTGCAAAAACGACAGGCCTGTAATTATACAAATGGCCTGTTCAGTTATTGATATTTTGCATGTGGCCACTTACCGAAAGGACAAACCATCCATCTTCAGCTGTAGTCCAGCCTTCAGCTGATCTAGAAACACTGAGGACAAAAATCTATGAGATACAATGAATCAAAGTCAGCTCTAAATGTATTTCAATATAATTATTACTGCAGAAATTAGTCATAAAAAATAGGCTGATGGTTGAAAACAACAACAGTATGAGAAAACTCATACTCAAAAAAATGCATTTTTATATTTTATTTTTCATTAAAAGTTTTATATATATATATATA